AAAGGCAGCAATAGGCTCCCCTGGCCGCTGTTGACAAAATATTATTGACATGAGCATGTGAAAACTGGACACTCTGTATTAAGATTACAAAGAAGGGCTTGCATTTGTTAAGAGAAAACTGATAGATATTTATGAGATTAACACAACAATAACCACAAAACAGTCACTGCAACTAATCAATATTCACATATCACTAGATTAGGGATGCTACAATTGGTCTTCAGAAAAAGAAATCGTTGACAGTTGTAAGCATACCTGAACAGCATAAAAATAGTTGCTGGCATCAAGAAGATCTCATTACAGGCAATAAACTTCAGGATATTCTGCTGATTAGTTGTCAGTTTGTCCAGGAGACCCCGGATAAACATCATGCTGTTTGGGCCCATGGTCTTAAAGAAACAGAAATCAGTCACAAAGTGAAATGAAAACTTTGGCAAATCAACATTTTGAAATGAGCAGTGGGTGCAAGAAGTAAAAGGTAAAGGAAAACACATTAAAAATTATTAGCCTCCAGACTTTAAGTCGCTTAATGGTACATTATACGTTCATAGTTCACTCTCAAACACACACACACACACACGCATACACACACACACACACACGAGCAGAGCAGCCATGTAAAGCGCTGCTCTGTTGCCACTGTGTGAACCCAACCACAAACCCACTCTGCTGCCTCAGACATGGTGGTCTGGCTGGTACTAATATCCCAGCTTGTGGCTAAATAATGTTTAAACTGATTTCACAGTAATTTTCAATAAGTCACTGTGGTGACTCATACTTACATCAAGAACTTTCTTTGTGTAGGTAGTTGCGTGAAGCAAGGAAAAAAGAAAAACTGGAAAGATGCTCACTGGACAAGAAGGTTAAGGTTAAATAACAAAAAAGAACAACTTCCTCCTAAATAATACAATAATAAGGGAGCATGATTCCAACTATGAAAAAACTAAATCTTTTACTGCTAAGACTAATTAATTTGTAATACTGCAGGTCTGAATCCTATTGAATGTCTCTAAACGAACCCTTTAAGGACTCTTATCAGACTGTCTTTGGAGAAAAAAAAACTGCAGCAACAAGTAAATGTCTGTCCAACTATAGCAGTGAAATAGTGTTTCATTATTGTTTAAAACTAAAAAACACACAATGTATGTAGCAATGCTATCATCTCCATTTAATCTTGCAGACTTGCTCACAATGAAAGGATACTTGTAATGGGGTAGGAGTTGACCAGGATGAGTGAGTAGAGCAGGTAATGGCAGCTGTCCTCCTGCAGAGCCTGGGCCAAGAAAGCTCTGCTCAGCTGAAAGCGTGGAAGCCTCTGGTGTAAGCGAAGCGCACTGGTGAGGGCATTCGCTAACAACGCTCTCTGATAGAAGTTAGCTGCTGCATAGGGTCTGAAATATACAAGCAGTGACAAAGACTCAAATGCTGATTTTGGCTGGATTACAATTACTTTTAAAGCTAATTGACATTTATAATTAGATGATTTTGCACAGTGAACTCACCCCAAAACTGGTAGAATGAACATTACAGAGCAATAGACAGTGAAGAGTCGTGACAGCCACATTGCAGTTTCCAGCTTGTTGCTCATTAGAAATTGCTGCAGAGACACAAAGATGCTCAACATTAAACCCAACCAATCCCTTGTTCTTGTCTCAATTTTTCTCATATATACTGGTAGCAGATTTACTGACTTTAAACTTACAGTCACGTTCTCTCAGTGGCTAGCATACAAACTTTAGCCAAACTAAAAAGCATCTTAATGCAATCTACAAGTTAATTTTACCGCCTTGCCTTCAAAAGTCAGGGGGCAGCTGCAACTCATCCTGCTCATCCTCATTCAACTGATGTTGCTCAAGTGAATGATTGGTAGCGTATGTCAACCAACTCTTGCAAACAGCACTGAAATACATGCCACACATCCCTACTCTACTTGCCCCCTAAGATAAACACACACGTTTGGGTGTCAAAATTACAGATTTGGGATGAAATCATTCCAATTATATGTAGAAAATGAAACAATCTAGGGCTAAAGCACTCAAATAAATAATCCAATTTAAAAAAAAGTCAACTGTTCAGTCAAAACTATGCATAGCACATACATTTTGTAAGGGGCTCAAGATATCGTAAATCTTAGCAAAACTGTTCCCAATTTCTTCAAAATATCTGATAAAAGTTCTTGATGAAACAATTAACAGAAAATGAAGCACCATTTTCTTTCTTTTTTTTTTTCTGTCCAGGATGTGTACAATCAGAGTACACCTTTGGGCACAATAATACTGGAATATTTGAACTACATAGTTAAAGCAGCCAACCTACCACAGGGCCTAGCTGCGGCGGAGGGTTTTGTTGGTTTGCATCAGCCATCTTTGGGGGTGCTGGTTTCTCTGTTGGGGGAAAAAAATTCAAGTTTAGAAGTAACTGTTTTTACATGCTCATTGAAATTTCAGGTCACCTGTGAATAAATGGACAATCGATAATATTGTCTAGCAATTACATGTGATCACACGATCACAACAGTGTGACATGAGTACAAGTAATGAAAATATCATGCCTTCCTCAATGGTGATTTTCACTCTCTGGCCTGAGTTTCATCAGCTTCCTGAACAAAATATATGTCAATATAAAACCATTGACAAACTGTATCACCAAGAGCTGCTGTAAAACATAAATCTTCCACCAGACATCTGTCAATTATTCTACAGAAACCTCATAAAAATGACTGATTGTAAAGGTAAAATAATTAGTAACATTAATTATTATTGATTCTGAGTTTTTCAAGCTGAAACCACAACTTTTGTGTTTCAATCGGTTACTTTTTTCCATCCTTTGTTATGTTTAAACTGGCTTCATTTAGATTTTAGTCTGATGAACAAACAAAAGAGCTCATTTAAAGGAGTCACCTTTGGCCTTATGAATCTTTCACCATATACTGGTAAATTTTAACTTTTACAAAGGTTCCGGATTAATCTATTAACTGACGCTGGAGATGGGACACTTAGATGATCTATTCGCTAAGGTAAAATCGGGACGATTAAATGGTTAACCTTTGTAAGCACAAACTACATATGAATGGGACAGATGGAATCTAACAACGATCATTCCCTCTAAAGGAAAAATATGCCGGTAGCTAGCTGGCGGATGTGCTAATTTATGCTGGTAATGACTTGTTAATAACAGACACTATAAAGCCAAATGGTTAAAATATCCAGATACTGCTGTTAAATCTGAGACTGATGACTGCAAATTTATCATAAGGCAGCCCTGTGTGTATTTTATTAAGGCTAACGCTGTTTAGCAGCAGGTGTATCTAGAATATTCTGTTACCATCGTTACTAGCACGTCAGCTATCGCCTCAGCTAATAGTTGCTACCTAGGTCGTACGTGAATGCTTCCCTGATTACTTTGTCAACGTTAGGTCGCCCGGCAGTTTAAAGAAGACTTAATTAATAGCTACACCTGACCCTATATATGGCAATAATAAAGCATTCTGCTTACCAGCGCTACAGCGTTGATTTACGTCGCGTGCTAACCGGTTAACGTGACAGGCAGAAGCTTGGCACTCTGGGAACTACTCTAGTAAACGATCAGCTGACCTTGTAGCGTAAGACGGGAAGTACGCTATTTCTCGCGATATATCAAAAACTGACTTAATGTACATAATGAAGCTTTGTTTTATATGTTTATTGAAAATTGTGCTCCTGACAGATACCCTCCATATTAGGCTGTAAGTAATTAAACGACTAATACTACAACTGAACTAATGAAGACTAAACTAAAATTATACATCCAAAGCATTCTAACTAAAGTGAAACGACAAAATCCATTACGTAAACTCACCCCAATATAAACAATACTGAAAGCTCAAACTCGAAATTAAAGAACAGTGAATAATAAAAAAGGATATATAATATAAACAGCTGTAATAAATCAAAAACTACATAGGTTTCGCACAGAATATGATAACCAAAAACGAAAACATTAGAAGCTGTTTTACGTTAGTGATATACACAAAATCGAAATATTCAGAGGTGACATGAACATGGAAAGCTAGGAACATAACATGAAGAGAAGGGTAAACCACGAAGCGAAAGATTAGAAGTACTTCAAACGCAGTGTGTATCTTTTAACAATAAAAATAAAAATAAAAAATAAATATTTAATTTAATTTAATAATTTTCTATTTCTATTTCTATGAATAGAAAGAGATAATAACTTATTTTTGTTTATGTATTCCCCATATAGAGGATACATCTTTATTGTCCATTTTGCTGTCTGGCAATATGTGGCACAGTCTGAACCAAAGATATGCTATTATAAATGTCATATGTCATAACAAAACAATTAGGAGGTGGAAGTCTAACGTTATCTAAAATTAGTAACGATATTGGTGTTGTTAAAAAGCACCTCTTATGCCCGTTTAAAGGAAAAACTGCGCCTGCGTCAAAGTCAACGCCCATATTATGGTCCTCACAGAGCTCTTTTCAGTGGTATTTATTTATTTTAGCCTTAGCACTGCTCAGAAACTGTACTGCTTGGATTAAGAATTTTAGGTTTACTGGACTTTTTATTAGACAATAACAATATCGAATTTATTTTTTCCCTTTAACCAATATCCTTCAGTAATGGTGAACCTTAAATCTACTACCACAAGGGGGCGCAGTCGACCAGAGCATCCTTCTGCTGCAGGTTGGCCTATAGCATGTGCTGAAAATTATTTTAGCTTTAAGTGCACCTTATTTGGTCCCATCATGTTTTAAAATCTTGCATCTGACTGCTGCTGTGGCGCATATGTCCGCAGATTATTGGCACGAGTGTCGCAGGATGATGTGTTTGCTGCAGATGCCATTTGAAAATATAGGCAGTGTAAGCACTGTAGAATCTAATTATTTCTTTGCAAAACCTAATTAGGCATTAAAAAAGGTTAACGCCAGCGCCTGAAACGTTTTTGTTTAATAATCCCATTACTGACGGCTCATCATGTATAAAATGGTGCAGGAGGACACTAAGTTTCCACTTGTTAAAGGGAATCTCTGAGAAATAGTCGCAGATTTTTGACACTATCTGCGATTGGAAATTAGGGCTTGTAATTAAACTGCGGAGACTCAGCACAGCACAGAGTAAGTAAGGCTGCAGCGCCCTGCCTTGCATGCATTTTCTATGTTTAATTGATGATTCTGCCTGCCTGCTTCAAAACGTTATTACTATTTTATCTTTTTTCTTCTTCTTTGGGCATGACAGAACTCTCCGAACGATAGCGTACACTGAGACTAGACCTTGATGATTTTTTTTAGGTGTCAGCTCCTCTCGGACCATTACCAGTCACTAGAGAGCTCAAGGTGAGAATTTAAATGAGAGAACATTATGTGGCCAACTTTTAATTTGGCCGAGCTCCCACGGAAGAATGGAGCGGGTATTTGATAAGTTTCGCAGAGAGAAATATGTCACAAAAATTATAATGTCGATGTTTTTGCAGAAATGTGGGACTACGGGGACGTTAATGATACCAGTATAAGTCCCGCATTGCTGCTGGGTGGATGAGAACCAGCTGAGGAAGCTTTCTAAAGGTGAAGGTTATTGAAATCTCAACGTTATCGTTTGAAAGCAAACGGGACAAATATATTATAGGAGAATATCATTACTGTTTTATATTTATCACGATTTTGTTTTTTAGAAAGCCAGACTGCCTTTAAACATTTTAATGATTAGAAACCCCTTGGGATCAAACACCAGCACCAACAAACTCGCACTTTCGAATAATTTACTCGATTTTTTCCTCTTCTGTGGGTCGAGTTCTGTGGGTTAGGAGCCCCGAGCTTAAAATATGACACGATTTTTCCCCCCTAAAAAGTAAGAAAAAAAATATAATAGAACACAAACAGCGTAAGTCTGCGTTTAAATAAAATAAAGTAAAATAAAATCTAAAATAAACAATCCGGAAGCCAGCCAAAGTAATGATAAGCTTTGAAATTGTCTTGCCTTCATAATGTGGGGCCCTTCAATCTGTTTTTTCAATTTTTTTCTTTTTCTTTTTCTTTTTTAAACTGTACTTATATTTCGATTTTTAAGTGTTTTTATGGTTATTTATCGTCCGAGGACACGTACGACTATCAGTAACAGGGAAAACGATGCAAGTATTATACTTACAGAAATTGACTTCAGCAGAACAATATCTATTGTCTTTGAGCTAAAGAAACACCCTTTTACGCATTACGCACTCACTTTATTCCGCTTTTAATCTTTTCCTTCAAAGCTTCTTCAACAGTTTTCGAGAGAGAAAAAGGAGGGAAAAAAGAAAGGAGTGTGAGTGACAGACCAAAGCGAAAAGCTTCTTAAAGAAATAAACAGTCGTGTATGCTTAAAGGAATGCGCTTGTAATGGCTCCATCTTAGTCTCTGAATCTATTCGGACAAAACAAACAGGGCGTGGAAGGGGATGAAAATCGGGACAAGCGAGGAAGAAGATGTTAAGAGAGAGTTGGTTTGATAGGGAGGAAAAGAAGGACACGGTGAATTTCCCTCAGACTGGTTAAAAGAACAATAAAACGAGTTATCAACAGACTCTGGCCTTTTTTCTCAAAGAATGCGTTTCAAGCTTATTTCACGATGACTGCAGTGATTAATGGTGGGTGTGAAACCTCTAGACGAACTGATGAGGCCGAATGATATCTTTATATCTTCGGGTTTAAAAAGTGAAGTTGTACAATTTATACAAATGAATAATATGTTTTTGCTTAATTTTTTATCCAATCACGCGTTGGAAAAACATTTGAACTGCTTTAAAACTCCCAAAGAAAGCCGGAATAAAGTCAGACACGCGTACCAGATCTCCCCCAAGGCTAAAGGAAAGACAAATATTTACATACCCGTTTACCTGCAGTAACTTGTCAGTTATTTAAGTTATGTATTTTAGTTTGCTGTACCTGTTTTCACTTCTGTCATCTGGTTAAAATATACTTTGTTCTCTTGGCAGATTTTATTTGGATTAGGGTTCTCTTACAATCTTAATTTTTTTTTTTCCACAAAAGATATAAAACAGCACACTAAAATTTTTTTGATGAAATATTTTAGGTTATACAAATTATCCCTTAATTTTATTAGAACGTGCACAATTTTCAAAAGATATCCTGCAAGTGGTCATCTTACACATGATTGCTTTAACAGGCTGCTCTTATATAAGGCAAAATGACAAAAACAGCATGTTGACTCCTGATATTGGACCACCTTGTTGGAGATTTAGACCTGGAATATTTATTTGAGCTAAACACTTTTGGAGGAGATGTGATCTACTATTTAACAGACAAGTGGCTCCAGTTGTACCACATTTTTGTCTGTTGTTTACATGTAGTGTGTTTTCTTCATTACATTTGTAACGGCCCTCAGTTTGTGATGGCCATTACTGTCTGCTGCTGTATGTGTTTACACACTAAAAACTGTTTTAGCACATTTTGCAAAATCTCTGAAATATTTTTTCATGCCAGCCTTTTTTATGCAAGTGCTCAGAAATAAAACCTTCCCTGACATGTTGGCTTTGATTGACATAATGATCACAGAACACTTCAGGCAAATGAAAATGAACTTGTTTGGAAGGTAAAACGTTAAATAGATTTATCTTCCTGTAACAGGGCAGATGTGCACAATCATACTGTATTGTGTAGCCATTTTAAATGTATTATATGAGACCTTATTTATTTTTAAAGTCTAGCGTACATGTATCGATATTATAGCTCACATTATTTAAAATTAGAGCAATTTACATAGATGCACATAGGTCTGGTTATGGTCTTTCTTTTTGATCCGTGTATATTATTTACTGATCAGTCAGAGTATCTGGTGTCCACGCTTAGCACTGAGCCAAAATCTATTGAGATAAAAAGCAAAAAGGGATCTACCAGAAAGCTGACTTTTCCCCTTTTTTTGGAAGTAAAGCCATGTTTGTTTGTGGCTTGAATGGGGGGTTCTATAATGGAACTGATGGCATCAGGATTGTCACCACAAATGGTCTGGGCGTTCTGCAAGGCTGTTTGACAGAACCTATTATGTCATTGGTCACGTCCCTCCACTCCTTGCTCGCTTGGTTTTGAATGGGAGTGAATTAATCAAATGGTTTGAGAGAGATCAGCCAACTTAATGCACTTTGTGTCAAGGTCTGCAGTGATCTGGGACCTCAGCCCCCTTCTACCTGGACTTCCTGCATCTGAACATATCCATGCTTGGACTGTAACCTGGCTGAATCAAATTTCTAAAGGGACATTTATTATGCCACAAAAACTGAATTGTCTCTGCCCTTTTTTTTCCCAAGAGACTTTTTATAATATAGCATGAGTTGCCATTTCATCATTTCTGTAGGTACTTATTAGGTGTTAAATATACTGGTATTGAAAGTAGCTATGTGTCTATGGCACCATTTTTTAAAAATGTTATTTATGTAACAGGCTAAATCATATATTTGCGATGTTATTGGACTGTATGAATCTGGAGTGGAAGACAATTTAAACAGCACATGGCTATTTGTTAATGTATTTTCTAACAAATCAGCCTGTTTACTATTTACTATTTTGAAGTTTAGTTTATTTAAGATCTTGATGAATTTACTGCTAATAACAACCCTTAAAACAGAATTTATAACTAGATTCTGTTGAGGGGTGTTGTGACTGCTCACTTAATGACCACAGAAATCGAGGACTATGACACCAATCAGATTGTTTCTTCATATTGGATTTACTTATTTTCCATGGAAATTCACTCCTAGGGTCTCTTGAAATTTATCAGATTCCACCCGGACAACAAGCAGTAAAGCCTTTAAAAGAGGATCTGTTGGCTTTAGAAATGATCCTGAAATACATATATTTTTTAATCAAAACTCAGCCACCATCGTATTTATTTTCCAGGAGTGTAAAATGGTCCAGAGTCGAGCGCCGTAACGTTATTGCTTTATCAAACACAATCAAAATGCGAATTAATCAAAGCACTCTGCGCTAGAGCACCTATGCACGAGCATTGTTTGGTTGTAATGGATGGCTTTAAAATTTGACGTTATTATTTCCCGTCATTTCTGGAAACAAATTGAACATTTATTGCATATATATTAAAAATTATACAGTCGTCAAGAGAGGCTGATGTCTCTTTTATTGAGGCGCACCGAGAGGTGAGGTCTCACCGGATCAATTTCCCTGTCTTGTTACTCCCGCAAGAGGATGTTTGGAAAATGCCTGCACCGCTAAATTGATTCAGAAACGAATTCATAACTTGAGGCGTTTAAGCAATTTTGTGGCGCCCAGTTTTTATCCCCAATCTTTTCTTTTATTTCGTGTTTTGATTGCTTTAAGCACCCAAACAAAGTTTTATACCATTCGGTTTCTCGTGGAAACAAGTTTATTGTCAGTTCTGCGGCCTTTTGTCCACGTTTGCCTATTTTTCATTCTTTACAAAAAAATGCATTTAATACACTGGGTTTTGGGTGGCTTTGCAAACATAGCCATTAAGCAGTCACAATGCTTTTATTGTGCACTTGATCTCAAAATAGAGGCTGGTCTGACTCCAGGATCCAGACAAACCTATGGAAAAGGCCTTGTCTTTGTCTGCCTGTACGGAGATGAATGGCTCGTGTCAACCAGATGATTAGTTTGCACTATTAAATTGTCAAAAAGGAAGGATTTTTCCCTAATAGTGCCTTTTCTTGAAGAATTATGGAATTCAGAGTTGTTTGCGACTGCTGGGGAACTTGCAGGGCTTTGCAGGGGCGAGGGCGAAGGTCAGACAGAGTTCTCAGCGCTGCGTCCAGTGTAGCACAGCAGTCAGAAGGGAAGTGGAGACAAATGTAGGCTTATTTCCTACACCATGGGGAGATTAATACCTATTGTTCGAGATGACCGATATCCTTGCAGTGACATATGATTCAACAAACTGAGGTGGGTTTATCTTAACGCGCGATAAGTCACCCAATTCTTAAAACTTAGTGTGTAATTGCGCACCAACAACTCGGCACAAATGATCAGCAAATCGTCTAAAAACACTCATATAACTTAAATTGGAATTATTTGTTCAAATTTAAAATAACGAAGCTGCTGCATAATATCAAACGCACAAAATGTGCACTCTTGCGCCAGATCTGTCACTGCACATTGGCTGTCTTTCTGCACGCCCTGACAGTTCTGCTCCAGCCAGGAAACCCCCTTCCATCCCGCTCAACCTCTATTCTAGTGCCAACGTTTTGTGTTAAATGTTAACAACTTGGCCTGATTCATTTAATCGCCAACAAATCTGTGTTGACTCTAACACTCGCCTCCATTGTGCCCATTATGCGCCTGCCCTCACTTGAAGATTTATGTATTTTTGATATTAAATTCCTTCTGTCATCAAGACTGCTCTCTTGTTGACTTTTCTTGACCTGCCGACCTCGTTCCCCAAACTTTCCCATATTTAACGCGGGACCCGCAGCCTCCTCCCCAACAACTTCTTCTGCTCTGCCATAGCTGAATGCTCAGTGGCTCCTTTTGTTGGCATGTGCTGTTTGCACTGTTCTTGAACTTCAGTGCGCTGCCCTGTCCTCATCCTGTACTTTGAACTCTGCAATAAAATCTTCCGTCGAAAAAACACGCATTGTTCGCAGACGGATGGAGTCAGTCCCTTAAATGTTGCACACTCTTTAATTTGCTATAAAACAGAGTGATGACTGACTGTCCGAGCATCATAATTTGGCCGATGTGACGGATTATTATCTGATCCTTGATGCTCACTATCCACGCAGTCTAGGCTGGATTTGTGTGCTCCATCCACATCATCCAAACTGCATTCATCCTCTGTTGAATCAGAGTGACGGATGCCCGTACCTTTGCCATATATGACGTCCATGTCGTCTATACAAGCCTCCCTCTGGCTGCCCAGCTTGCTAATTAGTTAAACAAACGTTCATACTAATGATCCCACTGGCCTGGTGAGCTTCGGGGTTTTTGTTCGCCTACTTTCCCCCAACTTCTCCCGCTGGAAACTTGGCCCTGCTGACCCGAGCTATCACGAAGCTGTGTAGATGGCTGGACCGCCCTGTCCGGAGTCCAACCCCCACAGAGGGCAAAGGGCAGCGTCCAAGGCCCGGGAATGTCACCACCAGCTGCTTGCGGTGACACCATTTACAAAGGAGGCTTGGTGAGCAATCCTTCTATGGGTTGTCAGTGTTGTGACAGTGCTGTTCTGACATTTATTTACTCGTAGGATCAAAACTGACGGTTTGGCTTAAGCAAAGAGCCAAGTTGTACATTGGTTCAAATGTAAAGAAAGCATCAGCTAATGCTTTATAAATTAGTTATATTCCACTAATAATGAGATGCTGGCAGTTGGCAGGTGATGAAAACTACCTGACTGGTGAGAACAGTCTGTAGATAATTTGTATTAATTACTGACTCGTAAAACGTATTAATGCTAATAACTATAGACAAGAACCATACAATTTATCAGTGAAGTATTAATATGTTTAAAAAAGTTATCAAATACAGAGGTTAACAACCTGGTAGACCCACGCTGTAACTTTTGCTATCATAATTAAGGGAGGAAAGACCCCAAGTCTAATAGCATTGTGTTTGATAATTTGAAAGTCAGTAGTTAGAAATCTGCAGCTTTTTTCTTAGTGCAGTAAATAAATAAATAAATAAAAGCGATCTCCAGTCTAACAGCGGTAAGTATCTATTAATTGCTAATAACAGCAACATTTAAACCAGAAAGTGCTTTCGCAGCAATGCAAAATGTTCAACTACGTCATATTTTTGTGTTTATTCATTAGACTGATTAATGAATGTATCGCCTGCCAGAGAAGTGATTAGTTAACAAGATTATTCCGATTAAATATTTAATAATGTTGTCATTCTTCCACCAATATAAATAGCGCCTGGGGTAAACTGCAGCAGCGCAAATAGTAACGGTAATTATAGGCAATAAGGCGGTCATAAGCGAAAGGTTTGTGCGTTTATGTGAAAGCTATCCTGGGTTTATGTCCCGCTCTTCCTAAATTCAAACGTTTTTCTTTCTCTGCAGCGCGCCGTGCGGTTAACACTGGGCCCATTACACGTTGTCATTTGTGGCTCTTGGTGTTATTTGGACAATGTTTGGCCATTTACCCAGCCTGTGTCTGCGCGCTCCAAGGAGGTCTCGACAGAAATTGATACTAATTGCAGGGACTGTACACTGCTGGCTAGTGGAGCGCCTGCAGGCAGTTGGAGGACCTGCTTGTCACCGCCTAATTGACAAGGGCTTGTCTGTCCTGGGAGCAGCTGGTCCTAAGCACTGGCGCACAATCGCAATCTTGACACGGCCTCCACTCGCCTGAAGGAGTTTTGAGGGGAAACGCCGTTAAAGGGAGATTTATTGAATCTCCCTTTGGGTGACGCTGTATTAAGTACGCAATATAGGCTTATATCCACGGGTGCAAAAGGGAGTCACACTCCTGGTATTAATAACAGAAGGTGGCAATTAGGCCAGACAGGTGACATTTCTTGTGACATTATGAATCACAGCAAACAAGACAAGCGCGGGTAAATAAAGGCTATGTGAAATCGGTTTTAAGGAAAAGTTATTTTACTTTTCGCAGCTACATGACACACAATGAGCCTGTATGCGCAAATCGGATGACTTCAGGGGGATGTGTTGCACCAGCCATTCAGCTGGCTCAGACACAAATAACATCACCCCTCACAGTAAAATAATCAATTCATTATTCTGGCCTGTTTCTATTAGACCATGTCTTTATAGCTGAATGCATCAGGAGGAAAAAGCCAAGCAAGTATTGTTTTCGTCTGCAAGTGGAAAAAGGTTTTCCTGCACTTTCCCACTGCCTGTAAAGAAATGCTGCTTTTCTGGGCCTTTTGAACTGAAAATCGTGATTTTTCCCCTGGTGTTCTCCGGACGCGCTCCTTTCTTTCTGCGGAACAATGACAACACTGGAGCACCCCGCCGGTGCGCCACAGTTGGGGATCTCCATGATTGTTTTGGACATCTTTGGATTTCATCAATCAAAATGACTGCAGTTTTCCATAAAAATGCTGAATTTGGTCCTGGAACCGAGCGGGCAAGGTAGAAAATACGAAGCTGTCCTTCTCGATGATAAATGGCCATCCTTTGATTGAGCAAATAGAGAAATACGTGCCATAGTACTGAGAAACAGGCGAAGATTGTGAGGCGAGGACTCATGGTCTTGCGTCAGATCATGCCAGAAATTAATCACCACAAATCATTAGGCTATAAAAGCGACTGCATTTTCCCAAACTCTGGCAGGCTAGATCTTAACTGATCCACACTTATGTAAAACTTAAGTAGCTTAATGGCCAATATTACCAGAACAATAAGTATTACGCACGCTTAAGAAAAATGTTAAAACTCTTTTTACACTAGTGCCATGAAGGTTATTTTTCAACTACTCAAGCCGAAACAGTGAGTGACAGACAGACATTAAGTTCACCAACGGGTGCCATATCATACCGATAATATTGGTCTTTATTTTACCAGGTTACTAAGTGTAACAAATGAAACGCGTGCTCATAAACTTAAAGGAGGCTTTGGCCTGGAACTATAGGGAGCTGGTCCACTATCCCTGCCTGCCCTCCCATCCAATAAACCTCTATTAACATGGAAATGTCACATCCCATTGACTAAAACTCAATTATGTGCAGACTTGCAGCATCTTTAGAGTGGACTAAAACTTTTAATTTCCCCAAAAAGCCGTTTTGATTTAATGGCCATTCAGAAGCCCATGAAGGTGTTCTATCTAAATGGCCTTAATGCCGCGGCTAATTATCCAGTATTGACATATTGTCCCGCCTCAGGTCAACAGGTCAGCAGTTGGAGATTAATGACACCGGAAGGAGGTTGTAGGAAGAGGTAACAAGGAAACCTGACTGTAATTTTTTATATTGCAATATAATACTTAAGATTTTGTTCACCTCAATGTTTTCGGCTATAACAGGCCGTGTAATGTTACTCAGACATTGTTGGGGTGGTTTTTACCTTCGTGTTTACTGCTCATATAAAATCACATCAATGGCCCTCCTAGATTATTTATTATTCAAATGAGAATTTATAGTTTCTAATTTACAAGTAGCGACTTTCGGTTTAGGTTTGTATCTTTCTTTTTGCTTTTATCACCACGGTTATATTTCTGTTTTCATATAGCGTATTTTCTTTTAATGATTTTAGGCTAGTAGTGCATTCTTGTAAGGACTCTTCCCCTCCCTCATTCCCTCTAAAAGATACAACAGAACTGACTGGCTTGTCGAGCTTGAAGAATTGTTTAATTTCAGAGCCCCGGCGTTTCCTGAGGTGAGGTCTGCATTGGCTGCTAATAGAGATCTAATTGATGGGCCGAGTCCCGTTTCCGTGCTCTCTCTCCCTTTATTGCGCCCCGGCGTCTGCTGTAAAATAGGTCTGTAATCAGATTCCGCCTATTCCTCCTGGAGCAGGATGAGAGCTCAGGGCTGCGGAGAGAAAGAGATGGGGCAAAAAAAGAAAGAACAGGGGGAAAAAAAAATCGTTATTAAAAAAGTTAAGCCTTGAGTAGAAATTCAACATACTGTTGAGGCTTGATGAAAAAGAGGAAAGTCGGCTTTAACATAGAAATTGCCTGACTTTTCTTTAAATAAACCCACATTATTACTATAGAACCCTCCAGTGCGGCTGCAGCACTCATTAGTGATTTTTTTTTAATCTGTCAGAATAGCCTTTTTCTCCTTTGGGATTCATAGGTTTGCAATATTTTTTATACTGAACTCTTACAAGATTAATATAGATCTGTCATAAAAGGCTTTGATATTGCTGACAAATGCGCCTTCTATAATTATTATTTTAACATGGTTATATGTGCTTTCGTGACTCGCACTCTTAGTTCATGATCTAATCAAATATCACACAGTCCACTGTTGTCATTCACCCAGAAGGTACAGAAGATGTCAATCAAATCAGACTGGCAGCAACAGAAACACACTGATTCTCTATTTTTTTTTTTTGCCATCTCCTCTGCTTCTCTCTCCATCTCCTATAGAGCTTCCTGGAAGGCTGTGATTGGCCGTCTGTCTGGGCAGTGATAGCAGCCCTGGAGCCGAGGATGATTGATGATGGCGAGGGCAAGGCCGAGCGCTAGCAGCATAAAGCCCCATAGATGCCTCAATAAAGAGCCTGGCTAGTGGAGAGCCTGGGCCCCGCTCAATAGGGCCCCTCCGCCTCTAAGGACCCACGGCTAGAAGAGTGCATGGAGAGAGGGAGAGGAAGAGAGGGAGAAGGAGAGGTGCTCTGTTGTTGGATAATCTGTTTAGCTATCGAGCCAGCAGCCGTCTGAGGCTGGATAAGTGCAGCGACGGATGTGTGTGGGGTGAAAATAGCAGGGGTTGGCTGGTGGAGTGCTGGAGGGGAGATACAGGGAAAGAGAGAGAGGGAAAAACAGAGCGAGAGATGGATCATCCAGTCTCAGCATGCATAATGGAAAAAAGGGAAGCGGATGAACCAAACTGGAAATGAGATCTGCAGGCTGCTTTTCACACACACATACACGCACACTATAAATGATCAAAAGCCAAAAAAAGTTGACCACAAGAAAGTGACTGGAGACTCAAACTGAGTGATCTGACCCCAGTGCTGCCACTCTGGTGGCCATTATTCAGCCTACAGATGCATAACTGTGGTGACCTTTGCTTCAGCAAATCAATGAGACCCTGCTAGGTTGGATTCCTTCGGTGCTGCGTCCACTGCTGTGGCCCCATGCAGCCCTGTTGCAACCCCTAGTTCACAGCAACTCTGAAAAGCACAATTAGGCAATAATCTGCTCCTACCAAGCCAGCTTTCAGCGACTCCAGCATGGCTACACGATGTCCTGCAGACCCTCCTGGCTGGAGTTGAGAGAATGGACTGTTGGCCTGATGACTGTTGGCCTGATGACTGTTGGCCTGATGAGGGTCTGGAAAGATCAAAGTTGTAGGGAAACACTTTCCAGAGCTTGGGCTAATAAGGACGAATATTTAAAAAAAAGTTTGCTATCAATTTACAAATAAATGAAAGTTTCATAACAGTTGCGGCCTGGTTTGAATGCGTTTCTCCCAAGAATACTTTGCACAGATTTGAACTCATTCAGATCTGCATTTTCTTCAGTTGGATTTGTATTGCATGTTAATGAACATCTTTGTGTTAATGCATTCTAAAAATAAATCTACCAAAGTTTTCACCAACTACATCTGCTCTTTGATTAATCTGCACTTGCACACCATGTAATAATATTAAAATATATATATATATATATTTATAAGCACATGTCCAAATCGTATCTCACAAATTTTAGAAAGGAAGTCAAGATTTTATAAGCAAATTGTTTAAATTTAGAGGTTATCTGGCACTGGACATTGAATGGAGGATTCTCACCTGCATGAAGATTCAAGGAAAGGTATAAGGGTTTGTAAGCCATATAAGAACAACATATCCCAGGACATAGTTACCGCTGATGTGTCCTTGCAGCACAGAGACAAGAGGGCATAGCATTGGAGGTCAAAACAATGGAGGTCAAAAATGGAATCACAATAACAGAATAAACACACATCTCCCAAATCTTACTAGTAACCCAGAGCACAAATTTCTCCTGTGAATGAAGGCATTGACTGTGAGGTCAGTTTTTATTGCCTTATGAGGTCAAAACTAATCAAGTTTTTGCTTTCAAGTCTAACGTCCTCAGGCTGTTGAGACCTCAAAGCAGTAGTTGACTGGGCAGAAGATTCAAGTCAACAACATTTTAATAGCAAATTGTAATTTTAGTAGATTAGAGAATGAGGAGAAGGTGTTTTTTGATATGTTATGACAAAACCAATATAAAGAAGGCATAGCTATAACATGCTTTATATTTGTATGTTTGCCATGTAAGATGTACCAAAAGTCCAATAAATAGTCTAAACTTAAGATATTTGCACTTATATTAATCACCGATCCAACATCAACACTAAATTGGATATCCAAAGTTGTATCAGTCACTAAATTTTTAAGTATTTGATCCTAAAGATAATTTTAAAAAACAGGATAGACAGACTGCAGACATACTGAAACAAAAATCACGCAATTTCCTATTAAAGCTGAAAGCATTAAAGAAAAAACTCCAAACTGAGTAGAACAGCCTGAACAAGAAAGAAATGCGATTCATTAAAGTGATTAAAGCCAAAATAGCATCAAAACCTACAGAACCTAACCTCCAGCAGTGGATTAGCAGGTAAAGGAAGAGTCAATGAATGTCAGCTGAAGAGTCAAACAATGAAGAAGGTGCAGGGGCTGTCCTTGAACAATGATGCCTTGCTGCTGACCTGGCCAGAATGCCGACACAGACTGCACCCTGAATCAAAGGTGGTAGTGGACTGAGCATTTGAAATGACTGCTAAAGGTGCAAAAAAGTAGATGAGTCTTATAGAAGCACTACAAATACACATTTTTTTACCAAACACTAAAGAAAAAGTTAAGTTTGTCTTTTAGGATACTTCTATTGCAGTGCTGCAATAACCAGGCAAGAACTTTTAAAAGAAGAAAAAACACTTAACTGGACAAGAATTAACCCTGAGTTTAAATATATTTTAAGAGCACTTTAGCAAATTAAAAGTAGACTAGAGAAGAGATACTTCTGTCAAAAATGGTGACAGACCAGTATAATCCACTCACATAAGGATTGATTTGAAATAAAGGTGAATGTAGAGATGTTCAAAATAAACATAAAGCAACATAATTGTAAATTAGACCTGTACTCAACTTTTGCCGTTTGTTGATTATTAATGTAGTGTATTTAACTAATTCAAAATATATAGAGCACCAATTATATCAAGACACTGAACATTTTAAATTGTTTAATATTTTAGCAGCATTGCACAGGGTGAAAAAAAATTCACAAACCCTCTTAAAGCAGGTTTAGGGCCACACTGTCTGATCAGACAGGACTTCGGGGTTTTTAGATGAACTGTATGAACTCTGGGGACGGACTTACAACAAGGAGAAAAACAAAAACAAAGGAGACAGCAAAGCTAGAAAACACTGGTCAGGTTTCACGATTCATGTACAAACAACACAGGAAGACAATCGCTGGTTTAAAAACAAACAAACGAACTAGGTTTATGAAATAAACAATAATCATAATGACTAATGTTCAGGAGTGTGAAGCTGCTTGGCTTTTCCGTCAACCCCTCTTATCCTCGGCCTGTTATTAGGGTTTTGTAATCTCCTTATGATGCGAATGAATGACTTGTACTATTTACTAATGAACCTAAAACTGCCTAGCTAGCAACAAATTACATCTTATTGCTTTACAGTCAATTAAAGCCACAAGAAAAATCTGTGTGAGCAGTTCAAAAGCAATAGGTTGATGAAAGATAACAATCAGATGTGTCTTTATTGATTTGTGATTAGTGTGGGGGGCTCATTCGTGGGGTATCCATAACTTGATTTTGTCTCATATTTTAATTGCTTAATTGGAGTGATTATTTAGCAATGGGAAACCAATCCACCTGTTCCCCCCTCTGTACACGTAAACGAGTCAACAGTGTTTGAAAGTCATGTTGAAGCATACAGTTACAAGTTCTGCATTACAAATAAAAGCCCCTGCATTCAAATCCTGCTTCTAAACTCCTTTTGCAGTAAATTATTTTTATGTGACATCCATTCATAATTTAATATATTAACTGGATGAGGTTAATCTGATTTAAACTAGTTTACCTACTAGCAGTTGGTGTTTTAGTCCAATTTTAAGTCAGATATCTTAAAGGACCAGTAAAAAGGAAAGCCTCAGATGCACCCTTTGTCATAAAAATGCAATATTTGGATAGACTTTTTAATTTTATGGTGCGTGTCCAAAATTTGGTCTCAATTGTTCATAGTAATAAAAGCCGAAAAAGACTTTGTCAATATACACTCAAAGCGAAAGCTGGCTGCTGCTGTGCTCTTTTCATATTTGTGGTTGAAATGTTAATGTAGTGGCAGAGAACAAT